GGTCTGCCTGCCCCCCGCTGTGCCCTGGGGGGGCTGTGGGGTGCAGAACAGGCACAGGGTGCCCAGGGGTGGTGTGGGTCAGGCTTATCCTGGGAGGAAAACTCTTGCCCAGCAGCACAGCGAGGGATCTGCGTTCATTCCTGTCCTACCTGGCCGTCACTGCCTGCTGCCCCCTTCTTCCCACCAGCTCAGGGACCTGGGGGGGACCATCTAGCTGCTCCCACAGGGGAAGGTGCTCCCTCCGGGGGGTTCCAGCTCTGCCCGGGCAGCGGCAACTTGTGCCCTGGGGGCTTGTGCTGTATGTGCCCGGGCTTGCCCTGGCAGAGGGATGGGGATGGGACAGCAGGGTATAGGGGGACAGGGAGGCTCTTCCCAGGGCAGAGCACACCTAAATAAATCAATCATCTCATTTTCCTTCTGCGTTAGATAGATTTTTATAGCATTGATGACTTCTGCACAGGCTCAGTGCAGAACCATCCTGTTTTGGCAGTATTAGTGTTGAGGGTGGATAGAGCCAGGCAACAAATCCCAGCTGCTTAGTGTCTCCCCACGGCCCAGCAGGCTCCAGCGCCTCTCTCCTTCTTGCAGCGGGGCTGGGACAGGGGGTGTGAAGCAGACGGAGTGAGCAGGAACAGCCCCAATGGTGCCAAAACCTTCCCAACATGGGAGGCAGGCTTGCCTTGGCATGGATGCTGCAGGACGGGGCATCCTGTGCATGGGCATCCAGCACTCGTGGCTGCTGACACCCCCCCGTGCCTAGCCCTCCTCCAACATCATCCTTCTCCACCCTAGTCTGGTCTGTCTGGCATCAAGACCTTGACTGCAGCCCATTCACCCCCCGCCCTGTGCCTTCTCTGCCTGACCCACTGCCCTGGGCCTGGGAGGGCACCCCCATCCCGGCCCTACTGGGGGCACACGCTGGCTCCTGGCCCAGCTCCTCAGGCACTGCTGCCTGCTGGTGTGGGGCTCAACGCTGGAGGTGTCATGGCCCTAATGGTGCAGGGAAGAGGCTCTTCTGCAGCTCCTCCGAGGGTTCTTCAGACACATCACCCTCCTGGGAAGAAACTTGAGCAGGAAAAGGCCTCTCCAGCAGTGTCTGGGGATGGAGCAAATACTGTGTGCCAGAGCAGGGACCCTGCAGGGGAACAGAGAGAGGAGGTTCAATGGCTTTGCAGGGTGCAGGTGGGTCCCTTTCCCCCACCTTTCATACTCCCCAGTGTAAGGGATGCTGTTTTGAGCACCCACTGGGCTTGGGAGGGACCATGGTGTGATGCTGTGAGGGTGTTCTCAGCGAGCACGGCTATATGCTGAGTACTGACATTTGGGCAGAGCTGAGCAGGCTCACGTCACCTCAGGACTCGTCATCTGACATCCCTCTGAGTAACATCGTTTTGCTTTGTGGCTTTCTCTACCTGTTCTTTCCATCTGCTTGGGCCAGCTAGCAGCGGTGGGGTTGTCACCTCTGCAAATAGCTTGATTGTAGGTGTCCTGGGATCAGTGGTGCTCTGCTCCTCGGTGATCCATCTTGCACGGTCCCTTCCCCCCCTGCTGCAAGTGGGTCGGGGACTCTTTCGGATGGGTGCCTCGTGTGAGATGAGGTTTCCTGTCCCCACCCCCATGGTGCAGAAAGGAAATCTGTGGCCACACCAGGACCTCAGATCGCTTGCAAATCTCTCCCCCAGACCGACTTTGCTTCATTCTGCTGATTAGATTAGCAGTCTGTCAGGGGATGGCCGGTATTTTGCCTTTACCTCATGGAAACTAAATGTGTTTCGGAAGGTATGTGCAGCACAGAGAGGGAAAGTTCCAGCAGAAGAGCTGGAATTGACGTCCCCTCTGCCCCTGCTGTCGGGCAATGACAGAAGCAGAGATGACCATGACTTGCGTCTGCACTGCTGGGGAGTGAGCACTGTGTCTGCCCTGGGGAGGTTTGCTGTGAGTTGTTGTGCCCTCTAGGCTCGGGGTTTCATGCTGCTCCCTCCCATGGGGCAGCACTGGGGCCGTGGGGATGCTTTTCTGGGGGAGCAGCTTCTGCATCGCGACCTCCCTGCTTTGAGTGATGCTTGTGCTTTGGTGTGTTGCATTGAGGGACTTGCAGCCCATCAGGGCCTGCTGGGGACATGGGGACTTTGCTGCCCTGCCCTGCTCTTGCCATCTTGCTCTCCAAGCCTGTGCTTCCCCTTCTGCTGATGGGCAATGGCATTTCCAAGGTGATTCGTGGGGAGTCCCTCTGAGAGGTCCAGGCTGATGCTTTGCCCAGGGCGGGGAGCCCTGTGCTCTCCTATAGCAGCCCCAGCGCTCTCCCAGCTGTACGTGCGGGCAGGCAGCACCAGCTCTCGCCATCGCCATGACCTTGGCTAAATTTAGCAGTGCTCAGGGTGCAGCAGAGACATGTGTACCTACCTTTCAGCATGTGGGTGACTGTATTTCCCACACCCAGGGCACAGTCAATATGGGAGAGCCCAGGTTATCGGCATGTGGCGTTGGAGGGAGAGCACGTGGAGGTCAGGGTGACCTTGCCTGGCTCTTCCCAAGAAGGGCTGCACAAGGTGCCTCTCTGGAGCTGAGAGACATCCCTGTGCATGGCAGCTATGTCCTCCAGCCCAGCACTGCTGGGAGAGAGCGGCAATGCCTGGTGCAGCATCAGCCCCTCGCCCTGGGAGCCCTGCCAGCATCCCCGTGAAAGCTGCTGGCAATTTATGTGGAGCCAATGTAAGCCTGCATGAAAATGAAGCATGCTGGAAATCCACGGTCTCAATGCAGTTGCCTCTGCAGCGTGCGGAGGGACAGGCAGGATGCAGGCATCTTCCAGGGCGTCGCAGGGCAGCTTCAGGGGGAGCAACAGGTCTGTGCACCTTCCCTGGGCTTGTGGCTGGGTTTGGAGAGCAAATGGTGCTGGAGAGAGGAGTGAGGATGCACCTCTGATGGTATCGCCCTCTGCACCAAATACTGTTGGGATGGGATGGCTGGACCAGAGAAAATGCAGCAGGTACCACAGCAGGGAGAGCTGCCCACCCCTGCCTCGTCTGTACCCAGCGACCCTGGCCCTGTACTCACCCTGCAGCCCTCACCTCTGCCGTTGAGTTTCTCCCTGAGGAAAACCGAGCGTTGTCCTTTCAACCTCACAGGAATTTAGAAGAGGGCAGCCAGGAGTTGAAGGCTGGGAGATGCGGGTCCTAGGGCAGCAGGCTGGCAGAGACTCATGGGAAAGCTCCGGCACTAGAAAGGGTTAAATTGCATGTGAAGACAGAAAGAGAAGAGATCGGTTGTCAGTGCCAACCTGTCTGAGCTTGGCTTTGCTCTGTGGAACACCAGGTACTGCCTGCCTGGCATCTGCCCCT